CACTCCATTAGATACCACATGCCCTGCCCCAGAGCTGCTTAGGAGGATAGGTGACAGCAGGGGTAGCAATACTTCCCACTAAGACAGATTTACTGCCTGACAAAAGGAACAAAACCACAACCCTCCTGGAATAACCCATGTCCCAACACTGTCATGAAATTAGGGAAAGGCTGTGGATGCTGTAGGACAGCAGCTCCATTGATTCTTGAGGGGGAGGGTCCTGCACCAGACCTCTGGTTATTTAGTTGTACTCAGATATCCCTCTGACTATAGGTAGGAATTTGGTGTTGCCTAAATAAGCCCTATGGGATCAGCTCTAACTTGTTTTTGTTCTTAGCTTCTTTCATGTGTTTATAACTATTCTGCTGGAGCAGACCTGGGAAGACTGTTGAAAAAGAAGCAGCAAGTCTCTGCTCTCATCTCAGGCCAAAATCCAATGATTTACAGAAACCTGAGGAGTGCATATGGGCGGGTGCATGGGTGTCCATGCATGCACACATATGGAAAGGTGAGAGTACCCTGGAGGACTGGGATTTATGATCATTCCAGAAGTATGCCAATGAATAAAGCGTTCATAATAATATTTAGAGCTAGATCAATATATATGGATTTATGAAGCCATTTAAGGAAAATACAAATATACAACAATTTATGAGGGTGTGGGGAAATATACTGTTAGAGTAAGGATGCACCGTATAAACTCATCAACCACTCTGGGATTTACAGCCATGTACAGGAAACTACTACTAAAAGCAAGATTGAATGCCATGTAAGCCCATCTAGTCAAACGTCTGCTTTTCAGAGAAATCACTGCCAGTGCAGCAGTGACTGTGGAAACTTTGCAGCACTCTTGCCAAACTGGCTGCCCGAGATTCAGGAGCTGTGCTCAGATGGGCTGAGCCCCACCCCGTGGAAAGCCAAGAGCAGCACAAAATATCCCCATCACCACGAAGGTGGTATTCAGGAGAGATCAAGATGGGTGAAGGAGTCATTGGCTCCTCTGGTCTCCCTGGGGCTCCAAGCAAACTGAAATTGTTCCTGCTGTGGGGAACTGCATGTAAACACAGTATCTACACTTCTCTGGTGGCTCTTTCATCTCAACCCCAGCCCAATAAAATTATTATTTCCCAAGGCGTGATGCTCACCTTTCCTCTCATTAAAGCCAGGAAGTGGGCTGCAAGGAAGGAAATATGTGGTGATGGAGCAGCTCCCAAACCACAGGTGCTGAGGCAGGGCTGCAGTCCAGCACGAGAACTGGAATAACATCCCATTACTCTTTATAAATGGATATATTTCCATGTGGATTATTTGGCACATTCATTGTTTTCCATACTTTGGCAGACAATTATGGTCCTAATTTAAAGAAGCATTATGTGCAAAACTGAATTATAATAATTCACATTAGCACTTCAGCCATTTTCACTGATGATGACTACAGAAAACAGTCTTCTAAAGCAGAAAGGACTTTAGTCATAAGCAACCATCTCAGAAGAATATGAGTAAAAGTGACTTTCGAGAGATTGGGGTGAATTATTTATATATTTACATCTATATATTTTTTTTTATACAATTTAGCCCATGAATTCTAGACTCCATGTGAATGGTCTTTAAATGGACTGTAGATTAAAAAAAAACCATTGTTATTAAAGATTATTCTGTGAGTGTTTCAGGCCGAGTTTCACATGATGCAAGAAGCATTTGTCCCAGGTACCCTTGATTCATTATCAATCAGAAGGATTAAGCAGTCTGTACTTGCTTTACTTGCTTCATTAATCATCTTTTTAATGATGCAAAAGAAGCAAAAATAGGAGCAAAAAAAAGACAAGTAAAACTAAATTTTAGGGAATAAAGGAAATAGAATAGTTCTGCACACACACAGGATCAAGTTATTACCATTGTCACATTTTTCAGGAGCAAAATTAGTCTTTAATGGATAAAAATTCTGTGATGGATTAACGTCAATGCTAGGAAATTTCCAGTACTGGGAACTAATCATTCCTGAATAGCTTTATACAGTGCTGTTGTATAAACAGCCCTCACTGTAGGCACAGCCCTGCCAAAAGAGACATTGAGTTTTCCCAGCTCCAGCTGAGTTCCCTGGGAGCCAAGGCCAGTCGTCCCTACCAAAGTTATCTTTGTACCTTATGAGAATAGCACCTTGAAACTCCCAAAAGATTCTACAGCTCGTGGACAACCTGGTCCATGTTGCTTGGGGTAACCTTCCCACCCTTGGAGATACTCAAAACCTGTCCCCAGGGTAAGGTCCTGAGCAACCTGAGCAAACTGGACCTGCTTTGAGCACGGGCTTGGATGCAAGACCTCCGGACATCCCTCCAGCCTAGGTTATTCTACATTTCTGCTGCACTGTTTGAAATCCACTGCTCAGGCGCACAGAGAGCTCCTTGGTAATGCCATTTTACAACAACCTGCTGATATTTCTTTGTGTCCATCACTTTAATCTCTCAAACTCAGCACTTTCCTAGGAGGTATATCCCTTGTTTCAGTGCAAAAAGCTCCTCGTGGCTCAGGCTGCCTCTGCTGTATGGCCGTTGCCTGAGCCAGTCCCTAGGTGTAGCTCCTGCCTGGCAGTACCAAAGGGTAGGGTTCGCCTCCCCTGTCTTTGGTGATCTTGAAGTCAGAGCCTGGTCTACCAGGGAGAGTCAATGGAGGAAGACAAAAAATCCAGAAGAGAGTTCATCCCATTTTAAGACAGCAGGGCTAAACTGCCACCCGGAGGTGCCTGCCTCCCTCGCCTGCTCACAGAGGCAGCCTAGGCAACAGCTTTTGGACTGGGCCCTGGGTTCAGGCAGCTGGCTTTACAAGAGGTGAATGGCTGCTCTTCAGGCAGACAAACAGAAAAAAACTGGATGCAAATGGCTACGTCTCCCTGTGACAAAAGGTTTGAAAGCACAGCACTGAAACCTTGAGCACTCAGTGCCCTTTCCTAAGTACAAGAAGTCTCCTCTTTTTCCCCTTCAGGGCATTAAACACTGGACTTGCCACTAAAAGGAGAAGTAGCAAGAGTCAAGCAGATCACCTCTGGATAATTTTCTTCTCCTTTGTGGACTGTTTTTGTTTTGCTTTCTGTTGCTAGCCTCTGAGAACAAATGCACTGTGTTTTCACCACATGTGCGTAAAGAGAAACATTTGTGGAGCACCGAGTATTAACTGGCTGCTAGAAGAGAAGCCTGAACATCTCTTCTCCCAGTTGAATCTCTGTGAGCTAAATTCCTTGTAGCAAGAGGGCAGTGGTGCTCACACAAGCAGACACTTAAAAAGCAGGGGAGGGCAATAGCATTGTATACTATCCTGAATATGCAGCACTTTCCTTCAGCTGATTGCCAGCCACCACACATGGGACATCATCATTACCATTCCCATTTCACAGAAAGGACAGTAACATGAAGAATGGGGAGGGGAAGTCAACCACAGACTCAGGACTGACTGCAAAGTCATCATTCAGAGCTGAGTTTGTTGCAAAGTCTCCCCTCCCTCAGGCTGCATTTAACCCTGTTCCTACCATGGCTGAGGATGAAGGGATTTTTATCTGGGTTTAGAGATTTAAGCTACAAACAATGGACAGATGTATTAGGAAAGAGCAACAGGAAAATAAGTGAACATGTTCTCTTAAGTGGACTGTGCAATGTCAAAAGAAGTGTTAAATTTCTTCTTCCAATATAGAATATCTGATTAAAACAAATGCAAACTGCACACACTGCAATAAAAAACAAATGTTCCATTTTCCACTTCTTGCTACAGCTGTTTGTTTTAAACATATAAAGATTAAGGGAACAGTCTTGAATTTAATTAAATCCCAAAAGAACTAATGATATTTATGCATATTAAATTTTTAAAGGCACTTGTGTCAGTTCAGCCAATCATTCACTGGACTGTCATAACATGCCTCCCAACCCTAATTTAAATTAGAAAGAAGACACCCATGAAAAAAAAATGTGCAGACAGTAACCTTTTCACTGCACATGTGTTTAAGAGATAAACACCCATCTAGCTTTAAAAGGCAACAAATCTAATAAATGGCCACATCATCATAACTCAACAGTGGAAAAAAATCAATGTTACAAATTTCGGAACTGCATCTCTCAGGAAAGTAAATTAAAACATCAATTCAAACCTACTTTAAAGAGTTTATAAGGGGAACATTGACATCTTAACACAGAGACTCCCAGACCACTCTAGATGAAGCTGGGGCTTTCCCAGAGCTGTGGTGTAGGGCTCAGCGTTTGGTGGGGTCATGTTTGGAGCACAGCAGGAAGCCCCACTCTGTCATTTGCTTTTCCCCTTCTCTAGTGAGGTCAAGCCCTTCTCTAGTCCTGTACCTTCAGTAAGCCAACAGGTACATTAGGACCTGGGTCTCTGATGAAGATCTCTCAGTGAGAGGAAAAATGCTTTCTTGCTCTTTTTGCAGTAAATCAAGAAAGCCTCTGATAGGGCCCTAAGTCTCTGGTCCAAAGCTACAATCTCTGAACCTTCTCCTTTGCTACCAGGTTGGCTGCAAATACAGCCTACGAAGTTGCAAGGCCTCCTATTCTTCCACCCTGTGTAATTTTTCCCCATTGTGTACTCAACATTTTGTTATCCCAGTTCATACACAGTCATCTCTCCCACCTTAAACAACAGCCTCCCCCTCCCTGCATCTCCTAAACACTAATAAAAGGTGTTTCCCATTCCACTTACCTTTCAGCATTGCCACACAACATTATCCAGATAGAACTTCGAAAGCTCAATAAAGTACAGCTTGTTGCTAAACAGAAAGTCCCAAATACTGCCCCTTCTCTCACAAACAATTATGCTGACTTTCTTGAGTAAGGATTCAGACCCCATTTAGAAAAGCACTTCCTTGCCTACGGTTAAGCCTGTTTTTATGGTTTATCAATCATAACAGGAAAAGACCGAGCCATTAAGTACTGCTGCGTTCCTGTTTATGAGAGACTCTTCAACCTTACTTTGCTGATAGGACACAGCCTTTGCCAGGCACTTACCTATCAAATACTCCAGCCAGAACTGGTCCGTCTCTGGCTTGTAGGGTCGGTTGAAGTCAATCTGGATTTGGAAAGGCTGTCCCCGACGCACTATCAGCTTTGGGCTGTAGTACTTGTCAGTGTGGTGCTGCTGCTTGTTAATCTCATGGGTCTCCTTGAACATGTGAATGTCCACAACACGCAGGTAATCTGCAGAGATGTGTAAATGAACAGAGAGAGAAGGAGTCAGTATGTTGGAATGTCCATGTTGATACCAACATCATTAGAGGCCCTGTCCTCCCCTTCCCCAGTGTTGCCTCATCATGCAACACCATGCAACAGAGCATGCTGGATCTGTTTGGGGCTTACATCCTCCTGGCTGAGCAGGCACTTATGGACTGAGACTTCTCTGTCCACCTGCCATTTTCACAGAGGTTGGAAGCTTCTAGTGAATGGCTAAAGAAATTGCAGAAAGGCAGGTTGCTATGGGTGGAAAGCTGAATATCCCCCAAAAGAGTTGGGCTCCATCTTTCCTTTGGCACTGGCTTTCTGCAAGTCTGGGCCTCGTTGTCACAAGTTTACCAGTGCAATCAGCAGGCCTTTGACAGCTGTGGCTTCACATCTCCCTTCTTGCAGCCCTCCATTTGTAAAATGCAAATTCACAGGGGTTTTGTGACGCTTAAATACATTAATGTTTGCAAAGCACTACTACTATTGAGAGCTGAAGAGCCTGAGAGGCAGTTAATGATCTTGCATTCAACTGAGAGCTTGGATTGTCTGTATTAAATAAGGTTTTGGTGTACTGTATGTGTCTAGACTCAGCTTCTCAGTACTCCTCCACTGCTATTAGTGTCTTCTTACAAAAAGTAAATATAACATTACAGTATATAATTAGAGCGTAGAGTTATAGGCAAACAGCAGTAGGTATCTATAACATGCACAGGCAAAGCTTTGCTCCCTTCAAATTAGGGCTGTCTAAAGGGTTATAGCCTACCACTGCTAGAAGTTAGGCTGCTCAGCTAATGACCAGTCTGGGGTGGCACTGGCATAGCCAAAGGCACTTGCAGTCACCACAAGCTACATGACTGTACCATACTAGGAATCTTCACAACGGGAGTCTTCTCACACAACCAGCAACCACATGAAAACGAACTGGACATCATTCTTTCGCCTCCATGCTTGGGCAGATAATCACGAAACCTCTGCCAGGAAGACCATTACTGCTCACCACCAGAAGAGAGACAGAAGAGTAAAGCTTGATTTGCAGCTCTCAGCTTGTCTTTCCAGGTGCTGACTGTAAGAAACTAGCTAATTTCTGCATTTTATACTGACGATGACAGAGCCAAATGCATGCCTGGCGAAAAGAGGTGCACATTTACAGCAGCTGGTGGAGCTGTGTGTACTTGTGATGGTGGCTAATTTGGCCTCCTACTGAGTACACTGTGAGCAGGAAAGAATGAGTCGGATATTCAAGTCACTGAGGGCTGAACACGGCCCATTTCACAGAAGCTCAGGCAACAGCTTTGCACACTGCACACTTTCTTGAAGGCAGGGAGACCCTGCATAGCGGCCAGCTCTGGACCAGCAGCAGAGCAGCTCCCTCTTGGCTGTGTAGCCTCCAGACTACAGCAGCATGTGCATTAGCCCTGCCCTTCTGCAGGGAAGTGTTCAAGACACCAACAGAGCCCCGCAGGCAGCAACTCCCCTGGATGCCAGCATGGTCCTTCTCCTGCCCTGGCCAAGCCACCCGGTCTGGGCACTGGGTGACACTAAGGGGAAAGGGGGAAATAAGGGCAGCAGGAGCAGGTCCGTGGTCGGTGCATTGTCACCACCAGCTGCCTAGCCTTGCCCTGCAGGAAACAAAAGGAAAGGAAACTGCCCGAGGACACAGCAAGATAAGGATCCTTTCATGGAAAAGCCCTGGACAACTGAACCCAAAACCATCCACCTCCTGCTAACCCTAATCTGCGGAAAGGCTGGAATACCCTGTTCAATACTGAGGCAGGCTTAAAGTTCCATGGCAATGCTATTGTTATTCTCTGCTCAATTCGCCAGGTTTCTAGAGGAACTTCTGTAGATCCCCACAAGCTTTAGCACTGGCTGAAGTTACAGAGATGGGTTTTGTGTGAAACATTAAATGTGTTTTGCTCAGAAATCATTCTCATTGGCCCTCTGTGAAGCAGGGCACGTCTTTGCCTCCCTCCCTGCAAAACTTGCCAATGCTCACTCACAATAATGCTGATAACCTCACAATTAAATTACGTGAGGCAGGAATTTCCCAGAGGGGAGGTAAAGCAGGGACAGGGGAGAGTCTCTCCCGTTATGTCTCCCAACCCCTCCCAGGCTGAAAGCACTGCATGTAAAAGCCGCATGTCTTGGGGCTCTGTGAGGGGTGAAGCTATCAGTAAGTTTGGCTCAGCTTCTGCCTCCTTCCAGAGAGGCATAAAACTGGAGGGTTTGTTGTGCTTTCATCTTGTGTTCTGAAATAAAAGGCAACAGTGCCCCTGCCCTTCCTTCGCATGTTAGCCCCTTCAAGGAACTGCTAAGCCAGCCTGGGCTGTCAGTTCAGCATTTGCTTCACATTATCTCAGGACTTTACATGGCTCTTGTCAAAACACAGCCATACATATCTACAGAAAACGCATTTCACTTTCACTCTCAGTGTTAAAATGTACGTTGAGCTTGCCAGATGAAGATAACCTGTGACCAAGCCTGTGTTAATTACACTAATGGTAATTGCGGAGGACAAAACATGAGCAGGGTAATGGGATGTGCTAACACCATCACCAGAGTACGATCAAAAGGAAGGGTCCAGGCGCTGAGCACATCACTGCTCATCCCTTTGTGAGGGACAGGTGGCCATCGAGGGCTCCTTTGAAGTCAGGTCCATTTGACGGTTTGCCCATAGCCTCATCTGCTCTTTAGCGTGAGCAGGTTTGCTGCATGAGAGGCAGCAGTCCAATGCTTTCTTAAAGCTTTTGCAACATTAACATTGCATGGAAATAAATGAGCACAAGCTCAAGCTGGTTTTCGAATAACAAGAATAGCCTTCAAACATCAGGCTTTCTTGCAGGACCAGAGAGGGCTCTGGATTACAAACGTAGTGTGAGTTTCCAAAGGAGGCACCCATCACTCTGCTAACAGGGGAAGCATGATTCCCTGGTGAGTTGCCAAACTTTGCAAAGAGGGTGCGTGGGGAGCTTGCAGACCGTGGGGCCGCAGGGCTGTGTCCTCCCACCAAGTGGCTGGAAGCGCCAGGCCCACTCATAACACATTGCAGTGAGATGAGCTGGCTAGGAAGAGCCAGGGGGAGGACACGGCACAAGCGTGTTCACAGAGACACAGGCTTCTTGCTGAAGAAGCACTCGGGGGCTGTACGTCCTCCTCACTGAGCATCTCCTCCCGCAAACAAGCTGGGCTCCCGCAGCAGGCAGCCCACTTGACTGGGCTGGGGAGGCAGCCATCCCCGGCAGCCTCTGCCGCTCACTCCGGCTGTGATTCAGTGGAGTAGAAGTGGGTGTCAGCAGAGAGCTAGTCAAGCACAGGGTTTTACCTCATCCTAGAGTAGCAGCTAAAATAGGTCAAATGAATCACACCCTAAAAATGCCTGTTTCTCTCTGTTGGCTGTCAAGGGAAACGAGGGTAACTAGCTCAGCTGTAGACACCTACACTGCACAGATCAAGGGCAAGATTCAGTTAAATTTAGGCATCTAAGTGATGTGAACCTGGTATGTAACCTCTTATTACGGCCAGTTGCTGCCACCAGTGGAGCTGAGAGAAGGGTACAGATCACCCTGGAAGTGACACCCACTGCCTCTCTGAACAGCCTGTGCCCTCAGCTCCACTCACTGGATGGCTCTGTGTTGACTATGATCTGACACAGGTGAAGACACTGACATTTAGATGTTTACCGCAGGTGTCCAATCCTACCCCAAGGGCTAGAAAGCACCTCAGTTGTAACAGCAGGGATAATTTTTTCCAGTGTGTTATGGCAATGAAATGTGGGAACCACTACAAAAAATTCAGACAACCCAGAAGTGTAGAGGTGTGCAGCAGAAGGGGAAGAAGGTGGCACAAGCCGTCCTCTGCAAGGATGCACTCGCAGCACTAGAGCCGTGTTGTACTCTGCCGCTCCTGCTCTGCCTGCAGACGCTCACTTTATCCCCCAAGCACAACACTGTGAGTGCTCTGGGCAGGCTCAGCTCCTGAATGTAAGTCGCAGTCTGAGCTCCATTGGGCTATAAACCTTTAACGTGGTCTGACAGGTGACTTAAGCATCCTACCCCAAAACCGTGTGCCCAGGGACCACGCTTACATCAGCTGGCATCACAGGCTTAGATCACAGCTGATGTGCACTGAAACAGTGCTACAGTCCCTTCCCTCCAGGTCCCCCCTTGCATGTTATTGCTACAAACGTAGCAGAGCTGAACTGCACAGCAGAGCTGATCCAGCTGTACAAAAAGTGTTTTGCTGTTATGCACAAATTTATTTTTCATCCATACCAGTCCCATAGCCAGGTTTATCCTGTGGTCACACAAACTCTTGCTTTGGACAAGGGCTGTTTTTCTCACCAGCAGCATCACCTTAAGCACGTGTTGGGTTCCTGCCTCAACTCACTTGACCTGACATTCCTAAGTTTCCATTACATTTCTGAAAAGAGGCTCCCACCCACCAGCACCGCTTCGTTCAGAGCCTGGTGTGAAGCACATCAAAAAGCAACAGGAGTCTTTCTCCTGGTACTGGTAGGCTTTAGCTACAGGCTGCATTCCTTCTAAGATATCCCACACCCTTACACATCTCCAGGTTCTGTGAAGATACTGGGTTTGAACCGATATCTAGTCAGGACCTGTATTACATTGCATTTGACAATTTAAACACAAGTACTTGCCCCAGAGCTACAGGGTTGTTTGAAAAGGTTCAAGCAAAGTTTCTACAGTCTTAACATGCCAGTTGGTTTGCTTAGGCATTTTTTTTAAGAAATGCTTTTTGAAGAAATGTATGTGTATTAAAATAGGGGAAGTGTGGTTAAGGCACATGATTAGGATTACAGAAATAATGCTTTGCAATAAAAATTTGAACTTGTCACTTAAACCCCCTTTGCCTGTTTCCCAATGTGTAAAATGCAGTAATTAATGCTTGCCCACATTTATTAAGCTTTCTTTCAACCCTGGATGAAAAGTCCCATACGAACATTAAGTATTATTACATCTGGCTACCCTGAGTTGCCATGTTCAACAAGTCCTACTGTTCATTTCAAATAGGCCAAAAAATAATGGCATTTTGTTGGTGACTCATTCAGGAGCCAATCCTGATTTCTTTTAAACCAAATCTTACCTATTTTTTTTCAGGTTCACTCCAAAGAGTTGGCACTGAGAATGTGGTTTGATTTGCCCATCCCCTACCATGATATTGTTTTCTCTCCCCAGCCAAATGATTAAAATGCTTTTTGCAGGAGAATAATTAAAATTATGGGGATTCCTTTTAGTTTTCCATTAGTATTTATGAGTGAGCTGAACATCCAGCAAAAGATTTCCCTGCCAGACAGCATTTTGCAGTAGTTTCACAGTCAGTTTAAGGCCGTACAAACCAGCAGAGCCATTAAGAGGGTGAGGCTCCTCCTGTCCCCTTCACCACAGTGCTGCCACAGCCATGCCTGAAGCCAGCAGGTCCTAAAATGACTCTGTGATTGTGATCAGACTGGGAAACCCCCTTCTTGCCTTTTTTTAACCACTCCCACAGTTCAAGCTGAAAACTGGTCACTCAGCTTCTCCACTGCTCACTTTCCCT